GCACCCACCAGCGAGTGGGTGCTGCCAGCGTGCGAACGTCAGTCGCTGCTGGCAGCAAGCTTGTTAAAAGGGAAGTCACTTTTTTTTTTTTTTTCCTTCTTTATTTTATGAGATCAGAAATATGCGGATTTCCCCCTCCCAACCCAGTGCAAAGAGAGGTCAAGATCAGCTCCTGGCAAGTCTGGCTGCATGACAAGGAGCTGTTGAAGCCATTCTGCCTGCTGGGTGGCAAATCCTCGTGGCTGGCAGGTTAAAGTGAGCGAGTCCTCCCGAGCAGATGCCGGCATCAGGGAGCTGTGCTCAGCCTGTCCAACGATATATGGAAACCCCTCATTTTGTAACAAATGAGGAAATTAAGCACAGGCTACCAGGCTGGTTGGAGCGGTGGCCGTGCTGCCTGCAGGAATCCCGGGCCCTGCTCTTTCTGGTCGCCACGTAGCGCGTTGGGAAACGTCCCTGGTTTGCTGGCACCGTGCTGTGACCAGCCCTCCCACCGGCCACGGCACGAGCCTCCCCGTGCCCCCCGTGGCAGCGTGACTGGGACCAGCAGCAGAGCCGGGGTCTCCGATGGAGCCAGGGCGGCGGGAGAGGAGTGGGTCCCCCCCGGGGCAGGGAACAGCATGGACCCCCCAGCGCTGGTGGAGGAGGAGGAGGAGGAGGAGGGCTGACCTGTTCCCAGGGCACAGACGTGATGGCAATTCTGCAACTCAGAGGAAAATGGAGCCTGGCAGAAGGAAGCCTGAAAATTGGAGCAAGGGGAAAAACCATGAATAACTGCCAAAGAGTCAAACTCCAGCTCTGGCTTGGACAGACCCGCCTGTTCTTGTGCTGGGGCTCTGACTGATGCTCCTTACTCTGTTGGCTTTTCCGCTTTCATAGTGCCTTAGCTCAACACCTGAGCCACTAGCTCATGGGCTTGCCAAGTCCAGCCAGCGAAAGGCTGAGAAGGGACATGATTGTGCTCTCCAAATACATCCAGAGGCAAAAACTGTCAACAGAGGAGAGGTATTAAACTAAAGGACAGTACTGGCACAGGCACCAATGAGTACCAATGGTCTGCGAATAAATTCGGGCTGGAAAGTAGAATATTTTTAATCACATAGCAAACTAGCACCTGTAACAGCCGTTCAGGTAGCGCAGCACGGGCCGGAGTGTCCGGATGCTCCCGATCAGCTCATGGTGGGGGATGCAGCATCCCGGCAGTGGCAGCACCAGGAGCGGCTGTGGGGCAGCCCCCCTGTACCTCGGGGGTTCAGTGACTTGCCCCAGGAGAGACGAGCTGGTGCCAGCCCTGCCCGGGCCGGGGGTGCTCCAGCCGCGCTCCTGGCTCGCTCGGGACAGGTTGTCCCCTGCTGCAGGGAAGCCCGGGAGAACAGGGACAGAAGTTTCCTCCTTTTGCAAACAGTCAGCTGTGGCCAGGGTGGCTCGCCCGAGAGCTCCTCACGCACCGCTGCACTCACCGTGGCAATGCCATCATCTTCCCCACCATTAAATCTTGCAACTAGTGAGCGACTCCTTCCCTTCTTTCTCTTCAAGCATCCAAGAGGTGTCTAAACGCCGGTGAGTTTTTCCCATTACATACCCAAAATGTAACCTTTTCCTTAGGTTAGGAGCAAGCAGCTCTGCGATTCCGTGCAGAATCTACTCGCTCCTGCTCTTGCTTGCTGGCCTCTTCAGCACACACAGAGCCTGCTCCAGCTCCTTTAAATTATCAGCCAAAATTTTCTTGACCTGCTGATCTGAACCTTTCTGCTTGCTACTCCCACGTCGAAGCAAGTTTAACACTTGTGTCCTTGCTTGCAAGCTTCTACCTTGTTTCTTCACTTCCCTCATATCTGACCTGTCCTCTTATCCATAACCTCTGGCCCTTCTTTGTGGCCCCTAATGCTGGCTCAGGCTCCTTTTATGTCCCTTCTCCAAGTCAGGTCAGTGGGCGACTGCTGGAGATGCTGTGCGTGCCCAGAGTACTGTGAGCAGAGGGGCAGGACTGAAGTGGCTGGGCACTGCTGCAGCTGAAATTGTAACGCTCTTCCCCATCCCAATTCACTGCCTACCCTGTGCTTTCATGAGAAGGAGGATTGTGGTGCTTGCTCTAAGGAAGCAAAACACAACAAAACATTTTTCTGCAAAACCTGCAGGTGGAAACTTGCCTTCAAAGCCTTACAGTCCAGTTCACTATGGCTTTTCTTTCCATCCCTCTTTGTACATACCCTACTTTGCTGCAATAGATCTAAACCAACATGTGACATTCCTTAGGGCAAGGACTGTCTCTTTGTTCTGCAAAGCCTCCAGCACACTTCCAACAATCACTTCGTATTCCCTGACATGGGGAGGAGGGTGGAGAGAGGCCCCATGACTGAAAGACAGATGCCATTAGAATACAGTGGGACAGAGTCTGAAGTAAAACAGCACAGTGACGATCTAGATCATGAAACGTAATGATTGCACTGTTGAATGCAAAATCATTATTGCTGTATTTTTAGTAAGACTTGTGCTAGTGGGAAAGAACCCCACGCTGACAGGAGAGCAGCGTGAGTGCTGCTGTGCTGGCAGGGCCGTAGCTGGCAGCGTCGGGCTCCCTGCAGCCCCTCCATCCCTCACCCAGCTCCTGGGGCCGTGCCCCCCGCCCCGGCACGCCGCAGTGTTCCTCGGCAGGAGGGGGCGCGGGTACGGCTTTGGAGGCAGCCTCACAAAACACCGCTTGGAAGGTCCCTGCTCGGGGTATTCAAGGTGGAAAGGTTGCCCTGAGTTGTTCAGAACAGCTAAGTAATGCAGAAAGCCTGTTCAGAAATCTTTTCTCTTGCAAGATTTGTATGTAGAGGAACGTAAAGAGCAGGCCATACATATTGGAGTGAGGAATTCCTCTGCAGCAAGCCTGAACAGCAGCCCCTGTGTGCCAACTTAGGGTGCACGCGGGGAACGTGTGGCTGTAGGACGTTGCGCCTCTGCAGAAGGCTGAATTTCACCCGGACGACCGCCATGAGCTGTTGGCATGAAGAGCAAATCCAGCTGATAGTGCCGCAGAGGATGGGATCCTTCCACTGTGAAAATTACAGGGCCGGGGTGGATTCGCCGTGTTTTGGCAGCACCTGTAAGTAACTGTAAGGATGGGAAGCCGCGTTGCTCGTCTCGCAAGCGCAGATCGTGGCAGTGGTGCTGAGTTCTCTCATTGTGGCTTTGAACTCCGTTTCCTGTTTGATTGTTGCCTTAATCAAAAGAAAACGAACTCCAATTAAGGTATCTTACAAAGTATGATTTGTGTCAAATTAAGACCGCTGGTGTACCTATGCAAAAGCAGTAATACCGAGGCCTGATTCACACAGGACTTACAAGAGAAAGGGGTGGATCAAGCTTCTCAAGTAAATGCAGTAAGAGCTGAGTTTGATTCATGCAAATCAAAGTTTTCATATGATGCGAGATCCTCCTGTTTGAGATAGGGTGGGAGACTGACAGGAACATTGTAATAGTGTTTTGGAAAGGAAAAGGGCGTATCCGTGGCTCTATGTTTACCCAGGCGTGTTCATGCATGTTCTCTTGGTGGAATACACATCCTTGATGTGTACTTACAATGAGGCTTCCAGCAGCCCAAGGAACCTGCAAGAGCAACAGCTGTCATGACAGAAACTGTTCTCGGCACATGAAGACTCTTCGGTTGGTTGGAAGGTCTCCATTATTTATTATTAGGATACAGCCTTCTAAACTGTTGTCCTAGTATTTCATGAACAAACTTTTAATAAACATCATAAATTAATCTATTGAGATCATTAAGCTTTAAAAGCGCTGGTTTTCAATTAAAAGAAGATAGCCCTGGCGAGATGTAGGCAGAAAGCTCTGCTGAAGTCCCACTCAATGAAACTGCATTTAATAGTGGAAATTTACTGAAGTCTTGGAAATTGAAGGAGAGATTTTAACTCCTCTTGCGGGTACTTGATACAAGAAGGTATCAGGAGGTGTTTACTACCCAGACTGCAGTTACCTCGTTGATGCATTTTGTACTAAACAATATTCTTCATTTTTTTTCCCTCAGAAGGAAAGCCCAAAGTGCAGAGCTGGGGCTGGGCGCCGGGACCAACCCCCACGAGCAGAGTGCCAGAGCAGACACCAGTCAGGTTCCAGTTTCGGGGTCACCGGCGGGGACCGCTACCGACCCGCTCTCGTGGGGAGGTAACCCGGGCCACTGCTCGCTGCCGGGGGGACGGAGGTTTGTGTGGGCATGGAGGGATGCAGGACCCTCGGCCAGACGCCGAGCGAGGCTGGCTGCAGCCAGCACCTTGCCCAGCTGCCGCTGCGTGAAGCAGAGACCAGCTGAACACTGGCAGCTCCTCTTTTCCAGGGCAACCCGGGGCCTGGGGCCCTGTCCCCCTCTGCTCTGCACCTCTGCAAACCTCTGTTTTGCCTCCCGGAAAAAAAAAAACACACTGAATCGGAGTGGCTGCACTTTCTATGCTTCCCTGAGCCCACGCAAGGGACTGCAAACGAGCACAGGATTGGGCCCCGGTGGCTCTCAGTAGGTGACTGTCTTTTAGAAATTAAAGGCAGACCTAGAACGGTCAAAAGGCCCTGAAAGGCAGCAAGAATTACAAATAGGCATTGAAAGCTAAAGAGAGAGAAAATCTTAATTAGATCTCCACCAACCTGTAGAAGAACACATTTGGATTAAAATGAAATGGAGCTTTGTACTCTCAGGGTTTCAGCACAAGAATGGAAGAGGAATTATTCACATTTGCTATTTGTGAAGCTGGATTGCTTTTTCTGTGAACTTGTCTTTTTAACTTCTCACCTTGTCAGAAAATTGTGAAAAGCTGCTGGGATGCTGTATTTGGGGTAGTTCTTATCACAGCACATAGCAGAAACATTTCCATGGTTTCAGAACATGGGCAGAGTTTTCTATTTAATCCTATCCTCCCCAAGTTAACTCCTTTCCTCTTGCGGTAAGCCAGCCTGTCCACTACTCACTGACCTGCCTCATATTTCACTGATATTTTCTCTTTGTGAATATCTATCAATATTTAATACAGTGGTGTCGGTTTTGCTGTAAGATGAGAGGAACTACTAGAAACCTTGAATTATACATTGTGTGGCTGGGGGAAGCTGGAGAGAGTTTTCTTTTGGACCCAAAGCTACTTGGACTTGATTTCCAGGACCTGCAGCTTGAAATCCTAATAATGGATGAGCACCAGATGAAACTCAATGAGTGGCATGAGGGAAGTCCCCGCAAAGTGAGGTTCAAAATATCGTCATCTTACAGTGGCCGAGTGTTAAAGCAAGTCTACGAAGACGGGCAGGAACTCGAGCCCCCAGTCAAAGAGCACTCTCGGCGTTTTCTCCGCCACAGCTTCGAGCCAGACGACCATTTCTGTGGGGCCATGGAAACGCCAGAAAACGGGTTTTACTTGCCAGCCAAGCTGACTGCCCATCGGATCAGCATATTCAAAGAGGATAAGAAATACAGTCTCACCAGTAACTCGCCTCTCCTCAACGACTACCAGCCAAGCGACAGCCACTGCCGGGTAAGTAATGTCCAGCCGAGGGCTGCCAAACCGCTGGGAAACCAGCTTCAGACTAACCCATTTTCTGCATTAATATGGTAACAGGAGTCCCGGACTGGAACCTTGTTCAGACAAAACTCAGCTTTGATAGTCCAGGATTTTAAAAGGGCGGTTGTAAACCTTCAGCCTTTATCCCACAAATTCTGTATTCTGCTTACTCTACCAATGGCAGGATCCGCGTGTTTTGCAGCAGCGCCGTCGGCAAGCGACCAGCATCTGCTGGCTGTGCTCCACCTCTCCCTGGGTTGTTGCATCTGTCCATTTTGTAGAACAGGAGGTAACATTTCCATATATATCAATATCTACACATAGTCATCCTAATGCATCTAGAGCAGTCAAGTGTAAGGTGGATATTATCTTAACTGGTTATATTTAAAACATGAAAGTTGCATGACTTCAGCTGGCAAAAAGGTTAGTGCCACTGGCAATGTACCAGTGAGCCTCCGAGCGAGGTATCCGCATCCCCTGGCAAGTCAGAATTCCCCTTAGGCTACTCTGAAAATCCCTGCCTAGTTTCACTGGATGTTTTGTTAACGTATAATTCATGCCACAGATATAGAAATGTCTCTTTAGTCCTAATAAAAAGCCAGTACATGTGTAATATATGTTAAATAGATTAATACACATAATTCATTTTCTTACCCTGTCGAATTAGATATATGTATGTGTTACTGCTATTTGGTTTTATCCAATCTAGATGTACCAACTAAACCAATTGGTTTAACAGCGATGGCGTACCGGCACTATTGATAACACAGCCACGTCACACTGACATGCAAGCTCTAAACGCAGTGCGTTCTGCTGATCTAATCAGCAGGCTTGTGAGACTGGAGGTGAGCCTGCTCAAAGAGGGCACAAAGGCAGCTGGTGCGAGGTGAGCTGGCTAGCTGGGTCAGGATCGGGCCCTTCCCCGGGACACGCCATCCCAGTTCAGAGCGACCGGCGAGCTGGCAGCCTGGGGACACGAGCCCGCTGCCCGGCCTTCATCTGAATACGTTAAAAGCCTATTAATTCTTAGTGCTAATCAAAGTGGCGTGTAGGAAAACCAGACGGCTGACATTTGAACTACATTCAGTTGATCCACTGGGCATCTAGTTTAACTGAAAATACCAAACCACAACGAATCTCTCCTGCCTAAAGACAGCACTAATGCGATCTTATCCATACCGTTAATTTGTTCTGCATTCTTGGGTAACGCTCATCTCTACTCCCTCGTTTCCCTAACCATAAATACCTTGAGTAATCACGCTATCCAGTACCAGCTTTGTTTTGTATCAGCATGCATTTGGTGTTTGGAGACACCATGTATGTGTAACAAATACGAGGCTTTCGGAGCCTTCTGCAAACGGTCAGGATTTGTGCTCCCCTGCTTCCCCTTCCACGCTGCCCCCAGTGCCAGGAGAGCCACCAGCCCCCTCGCGCCAGCTGATCCCACTCTGGCAGGGCACTTTCTTAGGAGAACATCTCCTTTTGAATCGCTTCTTGACACAGATACTTAAACAGAGCGAAAGACGAACAGCGTGTAAAACAATAGGCTATGGTAACTGCCATATGATACCTAGTGCAAAGGGAAAAAGGGACCAGGTAGGCAAAATGCTGCTTTCAGAGAAATGTTTGACCATACCGAATTTAGCTTTAAAATCATTAGAAAAGAATACAAATCCAAGTGTGCCCAAAGATGGTTATTTAGACTGGCTCCTCACAGTTAGGAACACAATTTAGCATTAGAAAATGAGGGGTTTTTATCATCGGACCCCTTTGCCAGCATTAATGAATTACAAAGAAAAGCTTTCTTTTAAATCTGAAAAACCTCATCAAAGGTGACCATCATGGGGAATTTCTGCTTCTGGCCAAAAAAATGAAAACCCCGTTCCACCCTGCCCCCCCCTCCGACTACTCAGCCTTCGAAGAAATGTAGGTCAGTCCCCAGCGCAGTTTGCTTTTCCATCTATGCCAACACCACTGCTCTTAGAATTGTGCCTTCTTTTCTTCTTGCATATGGGTCGGAATGAGAGTTTACATCCCAGAAAGCTTCCCCCATCCAGAACATGGCATTAAAGTGAGGCTCCTAAGATTTGAGCCAAAGCCTTGGCCTGATCCCATCCGTCCCTCCGCTGCCGTTCCGCTCCGTGCTCTGGGTGCTGGTGGGGAGCTGGCTCGTGCTGCGGAGCCAGCCGAGGGGATGACCCGGCCGAGGGGACGCTCTCCTGGAAGCCCAGGGGTCACCAGTGTTTGTAGGGTGTATTTATACAGGCGAGACACTGACGAGGTCCTTCTACAGGCTTCCCCAATTCTAGATTTTGGCAAGATTGTCATCTACACTAATAACCTGAAAATCATCCGCGCACCGATGGACCAGAAAGAGCTCATGAGAAGAATCATCCAGACGGAGGGGAAAAGTGACTGGGCCTTTGTATACCGGGAAAGGAAAGAAAGACTTGGTGGTGGACATAAAAAAGATGTGGAGAAAAAGGTCGCGTGCAACCAATATGTGGAGGTAAGAGAAAATGGAAAGTGTTTTCTTCTCCTAAGGCTTTTGGATCTTACAGCCCTGGTCAGACCACTGCGTATTCTGACCCAAGCCCCACCTATGCCTGTATCTGGCACTTAACTAAATTTGGATTAAAAGCATCACTTTGTTCCTCTTTCCACTCGGGAGATAACCGATCAGCGCTGCCCTGCAGCCTGTGCTCTGGGGACAGCTGTTCTGTTTCCAGATGCTCATGTCTCGCACTCGATTCTTCCCCTGGAGATCACTGATGTTTATGTAGCTTGGCTGAGGTCCATCCTTCGTCACCGTTTCCCCGTGGAAGAAGAGCAGGCCGGAGTTTCTCCAGCCTGACAGGGCTAAACACAGCTGCTCTGTGGTTGAGACTGCCAGAGGCTAAAATTTTAATATCAGCTGAAATAAGATTGTGCCTTCCACTTGTTTTCTCATGGTTTAGTCTTTGTTGGTCAGTCCCAATTAGTCTGACCATAATTTGATCCCACAAAACATAATGTTGTCGTGCCAGGCAAATAAGAAGCATCAGTTTTGGAGACCTGAAATGGACCTGTGCTGAGTGCAGGTGACTGTGGTCCTTCTGAAATCACGAGCCTTGCTTATGGCTCACTTGCACAAAAACCCCATGAAAACTGAAATCAGCCCTGAGAAACTAAGTAGGAATGTTGGCCTTGGTGAGTTTTGAAATACACATAATTTTCAGAAAGAGGGCTTTAACATAAAAGCCAAGACTCATCCCATCTACTGGCAGACACCTATCTGGGTCATTAAAAAATCACTTCTGGCCTTTGGGGGAAAGTAAGTCAAAATGAGGCCTCCATAAGGGAATTAACTGCCTTCCTCCAGCCGCCCTCACTCGAGGAGCATGCTTTGGAGAAGGACAACAGCTCCTGCAAAGCATTGTTCCAGAGAAATTTGTTAACCTTGGAAGAACTAAGTATTTCTGTTCTCCTTGATGTTTGGGACAAAAAGTAAAACTTGAAGGTCATAAAACTGTATATTTTTTTTTTTAAGAATAATGTTGGAGTTTCTATATGCTGGTATTATGAACATTTATTTAAAGATGACCAAACCCCAGGAAGGTTATTCTTCTGTGAAGTCAATTAATTTGGACTATCAAATTCATAAGCAGGTACCAATATGAAGCATATCTGGCACCAGCTCCCCATATCTTAGTTAAAACCTCGTTCTACAGTGCCACGTGAAGCAGAACTGCTGCACAGGAATGATGCAGGACTCTGAACCTGGCATCAAAAGAACAAACCCTACACTGTGCTACATTCTTCCTCATGCAGATATTTAATCATTTCTGGGCTCTGTGGAAGCACTGAATTTTAAGATGGGATTTGAAAGAGGCTGGCTGGCACCCTGGGAGAGAGTTGCAGGCACAAGGGACAGCTTGAAAGAAGCTGTGCATGTTGGTGATGAGGGATTCGGGGGGGGAGAGGGTGAGGAGAGATGCTTGAAAAAATGAAGCATGGCTCACAACTGAGGATATGGAGCTGAGAAGATGGATGTGTTAAGAAATGACAGGAACACGGATGGAGCTATGCAGACCCTTCCAGGAGGAGAAAGATGAATTTCAAAGTATTGTGTTACAAGCCCAGTCACGTTAACTTCTCATTTTCTAGAAGTATCCACAAATTGTCTCCAAATATATGGGAGCCTTTTTCTTGAAGATCCTGCTGCAGAGAACTCAGTATTATTGTCAGGGTGGCACGTCAGGAGCAATAATTACTTAAAAGACCAGAAGACAGGATTTCCTTCTTTCAAGTATGTTACCGACTTTGGTGTCTGATATCCAGTAACAGATTTTTTGTCATGATCTGTCTCTTTCAGGAAGGAGGTGCTGAACACGGTTGCTCCCAGTGTAAAGGGTCGGGCTCCGCTCCTTGCTCGCTGTGCCACGGAAGCAAGTTTTCAATGCTGGCAAACAGATTCAGAGAGTCCTACAGGGCTCTGCGATGCCCGGCTTGCAACGAAAGGGGCCTGCAGCCCTGCCAGATCTGCGCTGCCTGAGCAGCACTGCCGCCCCTGCAGCAGGCTACAAGCACCACAGCGACGTTTTGTTGAAAACTTTGTTTAACCTTCAAGCAGCCTCGCTATCATGACAAGTTTCTGAAAGATGGGAAAGGCCCGTTATAGACATCCCACCATAAATGTGAACACCGCACCTCTGGTAACGCCTGTCCCTCTTGTCTGCTATTTCCAACCAGCCCAGACCCCAGGGCCCGCCGGGCCGGCGCACCCCCCGACGCGAGAGGAGATTGCCAGCGTTCGGAAGTTAAGCACCTGCACAAATGCCTCCGACACCCGGAACCCGACCTAAATTTGCTGTCCCTCAGGCAGGCAGTCGGTGCCCGTCCCCGCCGGGCCCCGTCCCACCAGGCGCTGCAGGAGCATCGCGAACAGCAGCAGAAGCAGGCGCAGTTCGGGCACGTCGGTAACGTCCCAGGGTGTGAAGTCTGTTTGTACGGCAACAGCAGAGCGGTGCCTCCTCTAGGTTTCAACTTGCTGAATGTTTTAAAATTACACCGTCTTTTGTAGTTAACAACCGTGTACTTGCCCTGCAGTGTCACGAGCATTTCCCAAAGATTTTGCCGATTCTTACATCTGCTTTAGCAGACACGATGATTCCTTTGGGGTCTGATTTCTGGGAAGAAATTGAAAACCCTTCCCAAACCTGGAGCTATTAAAAATGTACAAGAATATAATATTGTAAATAGAAGTTATTAAGTTTTTAGCCTACTTATGAGGAAGTGCTGAACTAAAATTCCCCTGTACGATGCTCAGCACTTTTCAGGATCAGGCTGGTGGTGAGCAGGACTTCTGTTGCATAATATTAATCCCATGTTGTAATCTGCAGAAGGTAAACTCTAATTAGTTGAGGTGAAGCAATGATGTGGGATACTTTGCAGGCTGCCACTGGCGGCACAGACCACAGGGGCTTCAAGAGGTTGAGGCAAACAAGGGAAATGCTATTTTTTCCCCAAAGCATTAATTTATTACATTTTATATTAATAAGTGATGTTAATGCAGCCTTAACTCTCATATTACGTCTGAGACTCTGATGAGTTAGGAGACTGCTCTCATGTACTTCATGCTGAGGTTGTAAGCCTAGACAGGGTAATTTATGGCCAACTTTCTATTTTCCAATGGTAGGTTATAAGATTTCTCTGCAATACTTAAATGATTAGAAATAATGCCGTTTTAGCTCTTAGACTTCCGTATGTCTCCTACTGAAATTGTTCAGTAATGAGGGTTTATTTTTCAAGAAAAGTGCATAAATCTATATCAGATACTTGATTGCATTCATTTATCATATCAGGATCTGCAATACGAAGAAATGTAGTCCTTGGGGTATTCACTGGAGGCAGATGAGACCTCACAATTCAAACTGTTGTCAGGTGGATTTTGACCTGTTTGATTTCATAGTTTGTTGGGCTTGTTTAAAAGTTTGCCGACCTAAGAAAAAAGCAACCAGGCGAAATTGTTGCTTGATAGTTTAATGTTTACAATAAAATAGATGCAAATATGCAGTTATAAAATCAATATTTATTGTTATCTGGTAATTACGATGTTTCCCAACCACTATTACTCCTCCTGGCTGTGTCAGCTATTCCCGTTCATCCCATCACTGAGGCAATGCTTGCGGTGAGGAGCTGCCTTCTTGCCTCGCTCCATCCTGAGTCCCGCGGGGACTGGGGACTGGGGACTGGGGACTGGGGACCAGGGACTGGGGACCAGGGACTGGGGACTCCGTCCATGCTCAGCGCTGGGGCTGGGCCACAAGTGACAGGGTCGGGGCAGCAGTGGATTTGCTCCCCCCACTTCAAATGCGCTCATTTTCTTTTTGGTAATGCACTGACTTGATTTACCCAATAAACGCTCTCTTATTTCACATGAAAAAGAGGTTTTGGCTTTCCTAAAGCACCAGGATGAGGCTACTGTTGAGGCAACGGGGTTACTTTCAACACGTTGACGTTTTTATTTCTACAGAAGCTCCGTCCCGTCCCCAGCGGGCTCTGCCTGCAGTGCGGGGCAGGCTGTGAAGGTGTGATCCCGGCAGCGGCCCTCGCTGCCCTTGTCCGCTCCGCTCCTGCTGCCAGCTTAAAGGGGAGAAAACCTGCCCAGGGCCATGGCCCGGCACGTGGCGGGGCCCCGGCCTGCCCTGAGGCACCCGTTCCCAGAAAGCGGTAATTAATTCACTCTCTAAGACTCAATTTTGGAGTTTTAGAAAGCAGGCATTCTTTATTACAGCTCCGGACACACAGGGGAGAGCTCCTCCTCACGTGTGTGTCTGAAAACGAAATCAACAAGCATTTATACTACCTTAATCGTACATATTCATTTCATTTTTATAATATTTTTATCATATCTGTAACTTTTGCCGGGAACTCATTAGCATGTGTCAATCTCTTGCACATCTGTTGGAGGCTTCAGGTGGTCGTCGGGGGTCTTTAGATGAAGGCTCGTCACCTTCTTCACTGTGTCTGTCAGTTGACCCTTACTGCTGTGCAAACTCAGTCCTGTGGTCACGTAGATCTTGACCTCCAAGGCTGGCCTGGCATGGTTTTGGTGCTAATTTGCAGCTTCCTTATCTTTACATTTCTTTGCACCTGCTACTACAAGGCCGAACCATCTCAAGTAAGATCATTTATGAGTTCCTTATCCTACAGTTATTCCAACTATTCCTCAAAAGATTAGTATTTGTTCTGCAGCACAATGGTGGAATGGTTAAAACACCTTAAATTGATCTTAATAATTCTATTCCAGAAATATCTATTTTCTAATAATCTTAGTTCATAGGTATCACCCCCGCCACGGGGCTGAGGGCTCTTGAAGTGCTCCCTTCCTCCAGATCTGTGCCGGTGCTGCGCAATGGGGCACCCCGCTGTCCCTGAGCACCCCGTGTTCCCTGGGCACCCCGCTGTCCCTGAGCACCCCGCTGTCCCTGAGCACCCTGTGTTCCCTGGGCACCCCGCTGTCCCTGAGCACCCCACTGTCCCTGAGCACCCCGTGTTCCCTGGGCACCCCATTGTCCCTGAGCACCCCCTGTTCCCTGGGCACCCCGCTGTCCCTGGGCACCCCGCTGTCCCTGAGCACCCCACTGTCCCTGAGCACCCTGTGTTCCCTGGGCACCCCGTTGTCCCTGAGCACCCCATGTTCCCTGGGCACCCCGCTGTCCCTGAGCACCCCACTGTCCCTGAGCACCCTGTGTTCCCTGGGCACCCCGCTGTCCCTGAGCACCCCATGTTCCCTGGGCACCCCGCTGTCCCTGAGCACCCCGCTGTCCCTGAGCACCCCGTGTTCCCTGGGCACCCCGCTGTCCCTGGGCACCCCGCTGTCCCTGAGCACCCCGTGTTCCCTGGGCACCCCGCTGTCCCTGAGCACCCCACTGTCCCTGAGCACTCCGCTGTCCCTGAGCACCCCACTGTCCCTGAGCACCCCGTGTTCCCTGGGCACCCCGTGTTCCCTGGGCACCCCACTGCCCCTGAGCACCCCATATTCCCTGAGCACTCCGCTGTCCCTGAGCACCCCGTGTTCCCTGGGCATCCCACTGTCCCTGAGCACCCCGCTGTCCCTGAGCACCCCGTGTTCCCTGGGCACCCTGCTGTCCCTGAGCACCCCGCTGTCCCTGAGCACCCCACTGTCCCTGAGCAACCCGTGTTCCCTGGGCACCCCACTGCCCCTCAGCACCCCGTGTTCCCTGAGCACTCCGCTGTCCCTGAGCACCCCGTATTCCCTCAGCATCCCGTGTTCCCTGAGCACCCCGCTGTCCCTGAGCACTCCGCTGTCCCTGAGCACCCCGTATTCCCTCAGCATCCCGTGTTCCCTGAGCACCCCGCTGTCCCTGAGCACCCCGTGTTCCCTCAGCATCCCGTGTTCCCTGAGCACCCCGCTGTCCCTGAGCACTCCGCTGTCCCTGAGCACCCCGTATTCCCTCAGCATCCCGTGTTCCCTGAGCACCCCGCTGTCCCTGAGCACCCCGTATTCCCTCAGCATCCCGTGTTCCCTGAGCACCCCGCGGAACCCCCCGCTGCCCGCCCCGCCTCCCCGCAGCAGGCCGGGGCGGGGGCCGGCCGGCCCCACACAAGATGGTGGCGGGGCCGGGCCGCCGCTCGCTATGGGGGTGACGGTGTCGGCGCGTCCCGGTACCGCTCTGGGCGGGGGGTGGCCAGCCACCTCCACACGGTAACCGGGCCGGCCCCCGCCCCGCCCGCCGAGCTCCCGTTCCTGCCGTCACCGCCGCCTCCGCCCCGCGTCTCTCTTGGGCGGCCGGCCTGCGCGCCCGCCCGCGCCGGGGGAACCCGCGGGGCTTCTCCGGGGGAGAGCGAACCGGCGTGGGGAGGGTGGCGGAGCGGGGGCGGCCGGGCACAGGCGGGGCGGCCCGCCGCCGCGGCTCTGCTGCGGGCCCTTCCCGCAGCGGGAAGCTTGGCTTTCCCCTTCATCGGAGATTGTTTTTCATACTTAGAGGAAAACTTGCGTTTCGGTGCCCGAGGTGGTGGTTTAACAAGGCTCCATCGCGCTGCCTGGCACCCCGTGCTGGGTCCGGCAGCTTTACCGTGGGGACTGCCAGGAGGGCCGGTGCCAGGGTCGGTGCGGGGCACAGGGTGGGCACTGCCGTTCTCGGCCAGGAACGGCCCGTGCTGCGGTCCGAGCAGGGCAGAGGGGCTGCGGTGCAGCCAACAGCCACCAAAACCCTGCCCGCTGCCCCAGGCCCCGCTCGCAGGCGCTGTGCCCTGCTCTGCCAGCCGTGATGGGCTCGGTGGGGATGGCACGGCTGCCCCGCGGCACCGGCAATGGCACAGCTGGGATGGCAGCTCCTGCCCTGCCAGGGGCTCCGCTGTGGACGCGGGGGTTCCCAATAAAGCCCGCATCCATAGGAATGAATTCTGTTTTTCTGCCCTTGCAGAATGCGGACCTGTGCGTCGCTGCTTGGTGCAGTGCTGCTTTTGGCCTAGTAGTGCAACAGTCATTAGACTTTCAAGTAGGCTTCAGGCTGAGAATGTTTTGCAGCGGCAGAAGGCTGTGTTAACGGCAGGTAAACAGCTCTTCTGTGTTGCATCTGCTCCTGGCAAAACAGCATCCTGCTAAATTTTCCTTCTGAGCACTGTTGTTTCTCAGACCCAAGCTCCAAGCTGTGCATCAAAACTGTCCTTTTTGTTGGTGTTTCCCTTTGAACAGTAGTGCAGAAATAGGGATGAATTCTGATCTTTGTTACCAGCTGATGCTGGGATTTTGCTGTCTAGCTGTGTTTGGTTTTTGTGAACACCAAGGTGTAGAATATAGTGGGCTCCATTATATTTGTTTTGGCCGCGTGTGTTTAAGCATTAACAATAGAAGTGAGAAGCTGTATAGCATGAGGCATTTCCTTGGCACAAAACCCCATGGGTTTGTGAATGTTTTCAGCAGGACAAGATGTTTAAACAAATGTTGACTTTGGGCTACATTCATCCTTGATGCAACCAACTTAAAACACAAGATTTTTTTTTTGTCTCTGCTCAGTTCTCCATCTCCTGTTAGCGGAGGCCTGGCTTCGGCAAAGGCAGTGCCTTGAGGAGCCGGCAGTGTCCCCGGCTGAGGAGCCCCCCGGCTGGTGCAGAGCTGGGCTGAACGCTGTTGTGGGTGGCTGTGGGTGCCCCGGGCGCTCGCTGGCCGCCGAGCCAGTCCCAGCGATTCCCCTTCCTCCGCCGTGGCAGGGCGGCCGGCGGCATGCAGCCTTGCTCCTGCTGCTGCCCGCCCGGGCAATGAGAGGCAGAGAGTGCCTCTTGCTAAATAACCTTTTATTAAAAATGGTCAGATCCTTAAAAACTGGATTGGTTTTATGGCTTAGGGTAGGAGTGGAAGATGGTATGTTGCGCTTCTACCGAGAAATAACAAGTTTTTCCTGTTTGCTGAAAGCCTGTAAAGACTACGCTGGGCTTGCTGAAGTCACCAGGCTTCTGCATGCAGTCTCGGTGGGGTTAGCTTCTCGTCTCCAGTGTCCATCTCATGAGGAAATGACTGATGAGATACATGAATCTCTAAAAGATGTGGTGGCGCGTCTGTGTTTTAATTGACTGCCTATTTATTTTTCTGGTGCTTGATGGCTCAGTACAAAATGGAATTGGATCCCAGTAGTGGTGTTATCCCCAGTACTGAAAACTAAACTGTTATGTATGTAAAATTATTTTAGAAAGGAAAACCCCAACATTTCCTCATAAACCAAAGTGCCAGAACTTTGAACTGTAAATACAGGCAGAGATGCTTAGTCTGGAGTTTTTCTGTTTCTCTTCAGTTTCTGTTAATAATCTACAGCTGTTCTTTTTTTTTTTTCTTTTTTTTTTTTCTTTTTTTGACTTAGAATAGGACTGTGCAAAGATGCATTTACGGTTTTATTTTTTAGAAGAAAGGGCAATAAAGAAAACATTTTTTTCTCTCGCCCTGCTGCAGAAATCCTGAGCTCTATCTTTGGCAACCTTAGGCAGATTTGCTAACTGTGTAGTTTAGACTGCCACACTATGGCTAACCAATGGATGTGCTCTGAAATAT